ACTCTCTGAGATATTTGTTTTCATAGAGTTTATATTTTCTATTAATCTCAGTCTTTCTCTGTAATGCCTAAAGGATTTCTTCAAGTGTTTTGTGATTCTTATTGTCCTATCTACACATTTTACATTTTAGAACTTGAGACAAATATTTGACAGGGAGCTTTATGTCTGCAGGAGAGTCTTGTTGATTCTTACACCTTGCCTAGTTATACAGAAAGGTAATGAGTCATTAATGTCAGAATGAGGAGAGCTTTTTAAAAGGGGTTCCTAATTTCTCCCAAGGCAATTGGTTCAATCATCTTAGAGAAGAACCCTCTGATATTTTACGTAAGATAAGAAACTGGCATTAGGTTGATTGGCAAGCAGAGGTGGGAGAGGGAGTTCTATATACAGTAGTTCCCCCATTTGTGGTTTTGCTTTTTGCAGTTTGAGTTGCCCACATTCAACTGCGGTGCAAAAATATTAAAAATTCCATAAATAAACAATTCGTAAGCTTTAAATGGCATGCCATTTTCAGTAGTGTGATGAAACTCTGTGTTATCCTGCTGCATCTTGCCTGGGATGTGAATATTCTCTTTATCCAGTGTTTCCACACTGGCTATGCCACCAACTTTTTACTCATTTAGTAGCCGCCTGGATTATCAGATTGACTGTTGCAGTATTGCAGTGCTTGTGTTCCAGCAACCCTTACTTTACTTAGTAATGGCCCCAAAGTGCAAGTCTAGTGATGGTGAATTCTTATAATTGTTTCATTTTTGTTGTTGTTAATCTCTTACTGTGCCTAACCTATAAACTTTATCATAGGTATGTATCTATAGGAACAGCCATAGCGTATGTAGGATTCGGTACTATCCACTGTTTCAGGCATCCACTGCAGGTCTTGAAATGTATTCCCTAAGGATAGGGGGGGATTACTATACACATCTACTGTTGACATCCATTCTCAGCCAGCCCCACTTCCCATTCCCATCTTCAGTACTGCCTGCAATGTCTGAGTCCAAGGCTTCATGAGATTCTCTTGGCCATCCATCTATGGCCTTTACTGTGGCTTACTTTGCATGTGTTCTAGTCCATAGGTGGCTTCATCACTCAAACTTGCATTTGCCTTTCATCATTCTGAACTTTGTGGGAGTCTCTGGTTCACCTGTGCCCTCTTCCATAATGTTTTTATTAAGAATCGTTGTAATAGAGTCTTCAAAAGGGAGGTCTTGGCTCACCAATTTGTATAGAAATTATTTTTGTATTTAAAAAAATATCTTGGAGGCAGGATAGGAAGTATGTATTTTTCTCTCAACATGAAAACCTGGAGGCATGGGCACCAGTGGAAAGGGTATTTCACAATCCAGGTAGTAGATGATGGACATCTAGACCAATGTAGTGGTCATGAAGATATGTATAACAAGTTGATGATTTTGATCTGCTAAGGAGGTAGAACAGCACTCATGGTTCATTGAAGGAGTGAAATAAGAGGTGGGAATTAAGAATGACATTCAGGTGCCTGAACTAAGCTACTACCTGGCAGATGGAATTCTTTGTGACATAGGGAACTTGAGAGATATGCTTCAGTGGGGTAGATGGGCAAGTTTTGATTTGGATAAGTTAACACATGTCATTTAAATCCAAGTTTTCTGGAATGAGTTGAACATCTAAGTCAAAAGTTCAGGAGATCTGAACTGAAAGTGCAGATTTTGTAGTTATCAGCATATGGATGCTATTTGAAGACACATAGGTGGCTTCAAATGGGTACCATTGCTGTGACAGAACAAGAGGAGTAGGAGTCATGCCTTGGGCAGAAACCTGGAAGAATACAAGTATGAAACAGACAAGAGGAAGGGGAGCTCACAAAAGCACCTAAGAAGAAAGAGAAAGAGACAAAGGATTAAACACCGACAATTTGTTTGAGGAAGAAATAAAAAGGTGTGACAAATTCTAAGAAGATTTAGGCATAAATATATGAGAAAATCCAGGAGACAGAAGTGTCCAGAAGCTCTGCTGCCCATCTGATGCACCCTCCTGGCAAAGCCTAACTCTGGATCAATCCCACTATCATCCCTCATTTGGATTATTGCAATGGTTTCCATTGGTCAGTCTGCCTCAGTCCAGCACCTCTCCAATCTATTCCTTATTCGGGGCAAATCCAATGAGCTGTTTCTCTTCCAAAAACCTTAACAGATTGCCACTGCCCTTTAATGTCAGGCCAAACTCTGAGCTGCAGGAAGGGTACCATGGTGTCAAACATTGCTGAGATGTACACTATCTCCAGGAAACACATCATGGACCTTGTTTTCTCAGAAACTATCATCTCTGAAAAGCCTCGTTCAGACCTTCCCTGGTCAGACCACAAGCTCCTAACTGGCCAATGTGTTCAGTCGGATATGCTGGTACTTAGTCTCCACAAAAATACACTGTTCCTTGAACTTTCCACATTCTCTTTCTCCTTCAGCCCCTTCTGTCTTAACTGCCATGGTGTTTCCTCTGCCTAGGCCAATCTTCTCACCGTCTACCTGCCTTCTTCCACACATGCTTCAGGTCTCCACTCAACTATCCCTCCAAGGTCCACCCAGTATCCATTAGTCAGGTTTATTCTCCCATTTCCCCATCCTTTTACAACACTTACTGTAATTCATAATACTGTATTTACAATTTTTAAGTTTATTTATTATATAGCTCCTCTTCTAAAACACACAATTCATTAGGGCAGGGATTATATCTTTTTTTTTTTTTTTTCCTCATTGCTTTAACTAAACAAAGAGTCTGGCACACAGATGTCCCATTATTATTAAATTAGTAATAGAACAAATGAATGGCAATTCTCTGCCTGCACCATTTTGTCTTACAGCTTCCAGGTTTGAAATGTCTTTAACCACTTTAATTCCACTTCAGACTATTTGTCTGGCAAACACTTGCTCACAAAACAAACAAACAAACAAACAAAAAAACCTGACAGATTGCTTTGAGACTTCCTGACAATTTGGCCTCTTATTCCCACAAAGAATTGTTAACTTCCTCATTTGGACATCCCTGGTACCCAGCACATACTTCTATTATAGTGCTTATAAATTGTTATTGCACTACTTTGACTACACGTCTTTTTCATTTGATGGTTACTTGAAATTAAGAATCATGTCTTATTTTTGGTTCTTCAGCAACTACCTCATTCAATGTTTATCAAGGATGAATGAAAAAAAATCAAATGTAGATTAATATCTTCTTGATGTCCCTAAATCATTATTCAGACCACTAATTACAATTTATTTTTACCTTTAAGATATTTAATCAGGTTAATAATTTAATCAGTGGATTTCAGTCAATATAAAAGACCAGTTGTGGTGTCCTGCCTCTGAACTAAATAACCCAATTCTTAAGTATTTGAATATATATATATATATATATATATATATATATATATTTTTTTTTTTTTTTTTTTTTTTTTTTTTTTTGAGACGGAGTCTCACGCTGTTGCCCAGGCTGGAGTGCAGTGGCGCGATCTCGGCTCACTGCAAGCTCCGCCTCCCGGGTTCCCGCCATTCTCCTGCCTCAGCCTCCTGAGTAGCTGGGACTACAGGCGCCCGCCACCGCGCCTGGCTAATTTTTTGTATTTTTAGTAGAGACGGGGTTTCACTGTGGTCTCGATCTCCTGACCTTGTGATCCGCCCGCCTCGGCCTCCCAAAGTGCTGGGATTACAGGCTTGAGCCACCGCGCCCGGCCCAGTATTTGAATATATTTTATACAGTTTTTAAATATCTTCTTTCTTCCTGTCAAGACTAAGCTATTCTTGCTACATCAATTCTCTTATCAATAATTTTCTCTGTTGTTTCTAATTTCCTCCATTTAAAGAAATCTATAGATGACTGAGCTTGTTAACATTTTGAATTAAATGAGCATAAATATATTCTGAATGAGGATTTGAGATCTAAGGTGCTCAAGCTGTCATGCTTAGACCTTGAGAAAGAAGATTTGGTATCTCAGAGGGTTTTGTGTCCTACCTCCTAGTTCTCAGAGGGGACAGGTAGGCTATATAGCATAATGAAGGGTTGGTAAAAATGCAAAAACATATGCAAAAGTGTAATTTTTTTCATAATATACTAAATATAATTTGATCTAATTTCTTGACTTTTATCGTTACGCATGATAATATTATTTAATGAATCTTCTGTGTGTATGCTGAAGATACAAATTCTCCCGTATTAGAATCTATTCTGTGTGTGGCTTCTGCTCCTGCTTTCGGCTCAATGATAAAATCCAAATCCCATTCCCTAGCCCCCATTATCACCACCACTATCAGTCCCCTCATACTCAGAGCGATTATCTCCGTTAAGTTTTCAGATTGAAAGACTGAGCCAATGTCACCGCCTCATTATTTTTGTTTTTACGTCACCTTTTACTGCAACCAGAAGTTCTCTTTCATCCTATTATTTGGTACCCACCCCCCAACCCAACACCACCACTCTCTGATTATAATTTTGGACTGAAGCTACCTAGAGAATTTTAAATATTACACAAAACCTTGGACAGACCCAGCAAAAGTGTATATAATGTATCTTCTGTTAAAAGTCATTCTAAGATTTCATTCATTTGAACAATTATTTTTGAATAAGTACTTATTATGCTTAGCAGTTTTTTTGTTTTGTTTTGAGAATTAATTTACTGTATACCACATCCTGAATTCAAGAAAGTGGTATTTTATATTTCACTAACTTTATAAAAGAAGACAATACTATCTTCTCAAAAAAAAATTCCTATCGCTCTTAGTTGGACCTATTTTTTCTTGCTTTGATTCTTTGCATAATAACATTTCATTAATACTTAGATAATTCTTATAAGCTTTTTAAAAAAATATAATTTGGACACTAATTTTATCCTCCTGCCTGGAGTAACTAAAGCAACGTGGGGACAGGGACTCTGACTTGCTCATCTTTGTATTCCCTGCATCACCCAAAGAAGTAAAATAATAGGCATTGAACAATTATTTGAGGCATTGAACAGAAACACTTGACACTCATAAATGCATAAAGTTACTTTATTTTAAGTATACATATAATTTTGAAAAATATAAATGCTAAAATATCTCATCTTCTTCATCTCTTAATTCCATAAAAGTCACAATAGAAAGCTTCATAAAACTGTAAAATACTATGTTATAGGAATTTTAGGATTTATATTGGAAAAAGTTATTAGTAATATATTGAAATGTTTTCTGTTCTTTATCATTTTGTTCCACCATGTTGATCTACTTCATTTAAAATAAAAAGATGCATCATTTCTCTCTCCAAAGTTAATAAAGACTTAAGAGAATAAAAATAAGAATATCTGAAAGTGCGTATTGATTCTGAAAAGTAATGTGTACGAATATGTACCAGCCATGAAAATGGCTAAAAAGAGGCAACTATTCACTCTTTTCACATTGTAGGACTGGGACAAAGTTACTTCTGGCTCTAAAAGTTTCACTGGATGACTTTAGCCCTGAGTTGCTATATTTGCCTAGGAAACAGAATTCTTGCTTTTTATACATACCCATAGAGCACAATGAAATGAGCCAGGAAATTGGACATATCTAAATCTCTCGTCAAAACACAACTTGACTGGTTAGCATATTACAAAACTTTTTTAAAATTTTAGGCTGCAATGAAGCTCAATGAAATCATCTGAAAACTCATGGCCTTTCAGATAGTGAAGTGCTACAAAATATCACTTGATTGTACCCAGCCACTTAGTGCCACTGGGCTTCATGCTCATGCTGTGAAGAGCAGATGTGAAATATCATGAAATATAAATCAGAAAATCTCAGGTTCCTGCACCAAAATCATTAAGTAGTATGAAAAGGATTGAAGAAGGCTTTGTCCCATCCCTGAACAATGTCAACCTCTGTAATACAACTCAAATTATTTCATTTTGTTTTTAAAATATAGTCAGCAGTCAATACATTTCAAGTACTTTAACACAGTTAAAAAAGGAACCAAAAAACTCGGAAGACAATCATTCTCTATTAAACACCAGTATATAGTTGATAAAAGATTTACTCTGTATGGGTTGGTGCATGAGCATAAAATACACGCAAACTGAATTACAGACAGCAGACAACTGTTTTTCCTCCTCTCTTGGAGGTGGAAGGCTGAGGAGAGAGGTTTTTGTTTTCCTACTTCTTAAGTCAGTTAAGTCCTCTCCCCAGCCCCACTCCTCAACCTTGATTGGGAGAAGAGGCAGGGACATTACTGCCCCTGGCACACAAAACAATTAGAATTCCAAGTATTCATTTCACACAGTAGAGAAGATGACTTTTATCAAGGAAAACAGTGTGTCCAAGATATTTTTCTCCCAAACACAAAACCAGACGCATTTTTGCTCTTTTGATAAGGCAGACGCTTGACTTAGTCATCTTTTCTTCCAACAGTGTTTCTGCAACCACAGCCAGGACTTTCTGGTTAACAACTCTAAGCGGACTTTGTCTTTGTCTTTTGCATCCTTTATCTCCGTAAGTCACATTATGGAGAAAAGGGAGAAACACTTATAAAAAAATGTACTGTTGTAATTTGTGTCCAGTTTGCATAGAAACAAAACCACCACCAAATCTGGTTCATTCTTAGGCAATGGGTAAATTTAGCTAAGATACGGATAATTTGGTGTTACTAGGTAAAGCTCAGGTTTTGCTTGTTAGTTTGGTTAACTACTTCTGTTCCTTTGAAAGTAATGACATTTTTAAACACTTCCCTGGGTTCTCAGAATATTGAAAGGATTTGATATTAACTGTTTATTTAGCAAATGTAAGGTACTATTCTGTGTTCATGTCATAAATATCAATATGGATCATAAACAGAGGTACACATAGGTTTCACCTCTACTCACAGGCTGACATGATGAGTTTAGTTGCTTCAGGAATTCTTTGATAGGTATAGAAACGGGCATGAACCACAGATACTTGATTCATGATCAGAAAAAAAATGTTTTAGCTAGAGCTTTTATAAAAGTAAACAAAAGTACCTTTAACTTAACAAGATCACAGGTTAAGCTGAAACTATACATGGTTTTTAAACAATTTATTGATGCTTCCGTGAGTAAAGAAAAAGGGAAAGTCTTCTTATACTGGTTTATATTAGGGTAATAGAAAGCTACATAATACAGAATAATCATTTTAAGGATAGCCCTAAATACAAATATGAAGCCAGAATTTGGCAGGTGAGGTTTCAACACAATAACAAATAATTTGCCACTATTATTTTAATGAAAAAATTGTGGTCATTATTGTCTAATTTGTATAAATTAAAAGTTTCAGGAGTATCAGGTACTGTAAAAGTAACAACTAACTCAGGATAATAACATTTTTGTAATCAAAATTACAAGGAGACAGAATAATAATTTAAGTAACATAACAATGAGTGGGAATCAATAAGTACATATTATCAAACCAAAAAATGTGGTTTCATTCTGCTTCCAGTATAACCCTCAACAACTGGTTATAGTTAGGACATATCACAGTTGTGGTTATATGAATCCAAAATTATAATTTTAACATTTAAAATGTTTTTTAATATACATTCACAATATGTAATGTATCATATTAAAAACAACCTTTAAATACCATGTTGAATTTGGTTAATAAATGTCTAATTTTCAGTGTGGTACTTTGAAATATACATACATATAATATGTACACTAATATGTTCTAAAAGTCCCACTTACAAAGAATAATTGCCTTTGCATCCTGAAAAAAGTGCATGAGAGTACCGTTACACTGTACTCTGCAGCTCTGTAATCCCATTACATTTTATAGACATGTAAATGGGCTATTAATACTCCTATGAATTTTATATTGCATGTATGAGCTATTATATCAATTATAATGACTGATATCTGGGAAATAAACGATATTTGCTCTCATTTTCATATGGACAGACTTCTTGGACCCTTAATGGATTTTTTCATATGTGGTTTGGGTTTTATGAAAACTGGCACAAGAGACTCAATGACTTTGCCCTCTGCCTACTGTCACTCTTTTGCTTTCTAACATTGCACATATATGCACCAACCATGGCACAGAGCACATACACAAACACACAAATATTTCAAAATGAGAAAATGTCTAACAATACTGCATAGGACATTGACGTGGTCATACAATCAGCATCTGCACCCAGATGCTACTATTATCAGAACGTCGGTTCTTCTCATGACATAGGAGTTTGTCTCTTCTCCCTCAATCTCCTTCATAGAACAGTTAAGTTTCTTTTAAAGAAAGGGAAAAATTGATGCTTAGAAACATGGTGCTTTTAATCTGATCTTGCCTTCTGGCTTACCCTAGAGATTGTGTATTTGTGTGTGTATGTATGTGTAAAAATCACATTATATACAATACAATTTTTACAGAAAGCCTGGCAGCTACAAATAAGAGGTAGAACTACTCAAAACTATGTTTCCTGCTGCAGGAAAAAATTCATTTTCTTTACAGTAATTAAAAAAAAGTTTTAAAAATTGACAAAAAATAAGTTGCAGGTTAGGCCCCATAATTTAAACAACAAAATCTAGGAAGAAAAATATTCTTCAATGTACTCAACAGATAAGTTCATTAAAGGGTTAAAAAAAGTTGCATAGGAAAAAAGGGACATTCCAGCACTTGCTACAATGATGGCAATGGTTTCTCTATAGGGAGTAAAGTACCTTCAGGTTTCTCTTCTTTTGATAACTCTAAGATTAGGGTTTACAAGCAAGAGCAAGTTAAAATAGCAGCACTTTTTCCAGTCCCGGAGAGCTCTATAAATGAGAAGGGACTCTGTCTGGAGGTCAAGGTTTGTTCTACCAGACAAAGACAAGCCAGTAAGCACAGCCCCAAAGCTAAAGTTTGAATAAAGTTCCTTCAATATTTTCATGTTATAAAATCCTTAATACTTGCATCCTCTGCTTAATAGAGGCAAAGGGCAGGGTCTGTGTGTGTCTGTGTCTTGAGTGACAGAAGAATTTGGTTATCAGAGGACACATCTGAAAGTTTAAGAACAAAAGGGGTATTACTCAGATGCTGTTTTTAAGGAACGGTGCACTATTGTCTTGATTGTATCTATGCAAGAGAGAAGCAGAGAGAGCGCTGTATTATTTGGCCTGTGACCAAAAACTGAGACAAAATAAAAGTTAAAAAATAAACAAACAGCCAAACAAAAACCAACGACATTAACAACAAATGTCAGTTTTAAGAAAGACGAACAGGTTACAATGTAGTTTCTGTTCCCTTGCTCCTCCAGAAATAATCATTGTCTTCAGGCTCAAGTTCTATTCTAATTTGAGGCACAACTTTTACTGGAGTTCTAGGAGGACTAGAGGAAAAGGAAAAAAAAAAAGTAGTAAGTAAATCACATTTCCTTCATCATCTGTCAAATGTTTATGCATTGTACAGAAGTCAAGTATGTCCTTCCTTGTTCTCTTTTAATACTTATATTCTCTTTGTGTATTTAAAACAAACAGTTTAAATGGGATGAAGGTTATCAGTAGAGTCAAGAAATTCAAGTAAAAAAATTTCATAAGATCTCATACCTAGAATAAAACAATAAAAACAACAAACACAAAAGGAAAAGAGGTACTACCATGTGGGTAATGCTGTCAGAAATTAAAGGACAAAAAGACTGACATAATAAAAATATTCAGAGATTTCAGAAAATCAAGTAGAACCTGAAATCTCTGGAACTTTGTGAAGAGGGAAAGAAACCACTGGAGAAGAACTGTCAGAAAGTGCCAGTTACACCCCTTCAAATCAGGCATGATACTGAAATTAAAAGAGCTAATGTTGATCCTGGGTTGTAACTTAATGATACTGAAAGATTCCCTTATTTGTAAGAGTAAGTAGGTCTCTTAAAATGCTTTCTACTAGTAAAAGCTGGAGCAAGTTTTGGTCACTGGGTAATTTATTTAAGAGAAATCATAGAGAGGAAGGAGAACAAGAAGTTATGTCAATAACCCACCATTAACTACATTTCTGTGGGGCAATTATTCCACAGAACAACATAAAACACTGGACTGTCCTTTACCTTGGCATACCGAGCGACTGAAGGAAAGGAATTTTATCAGCATGATGTGTGGCGTTCAAGGAATGTTGGTGATCTTTCTCCTATAAAATAAAAGTTTTAAAAAACATAAATAGTAGGTCTATGGTGAAGTATAAAACAAAAATCTTCACAAAATTGATGCATCTTCCATAACTGTTAAGAGTAAAAAGATAAGTTTAGGTATTTCAATAAAAAATGTATTAAGCTAAGACTCTAGTGTGATGAAGACAAAATCACTCGGTTTCCTTTACGTTAGGTTTTCTGGGATGGATCACTGCTGTCTTGTCACTGAGAAGAATAAAAAGCAAATCATTTTTAGAGGGTGACAACATTCTCAATGTCTAAGGCTTGCTTTTGGATTTCCTTCCATCTTCAGCATTCCTAAGTTTGCCTGCTGTTGTTCATAAGGAAAAAAAAAAGATTTTCTTTGAGGTACTTACTCATCCTGCAACACTACTTCTATCAGTTCTGTTCTTTCATCATGGATTATAAAGATAAACATGACATTAGGAAACATTTCAGGCAAAATGCTCAAGTGTATTTTGTTTAAGTAAACTTGTAATATCATATCAACTTGCAATTTATCCTTTAAAAGGGGTTTTGAGAGGATGAAGGGCAACTGGCACATAAACTTTTTCCATGAGCCTCAAATTCTGGCTAGTGATTTTTTAAAAATAGCTTTTACATTTATTTATAAGGGGCTATACCAGGGTATGATGCCAACAGAAGACATACATGTTAAGCACATGTGTGTCACAGTGTGCTTTTGCTATTAATGCTCCACAGATAAAAAATGAAGTTGGAACATGGCTTCAGGAGCTTAAATTAAAAAAGAAATTCATAACCAAACCCTATTAAGTTAGCAGAAATTAGCCTCGGTTACAAGTTAGAGGTTACAAACTGGACACCAAAGGTAAGACTGCTTTAGTTCTTGGTTCTTTAAATTCAGGCTGGTAGCCAGCCTCCAAGATGGCTCTCAGCGATCCCTGTCTCCTGATATTTATGAATTTGTGTAATTCCTTCCCAGTGTTAACAGTGTGGGGCTGCATAACCATCAGAACATGACAGAAGTAATGGTCTGTTACTTCTGAGATTCAGTTATAAAAGACTGCAGCTTCTGTCTTGGTTTCTTTCTCTTTTATCACTAGCTCTGAGGGAGGCCATGTCATGGGCATCCTACAGAGATACCCACAGGTAAAGAAACAAACGTCATGCCAAGGGCCCCATGAGTGTGCTTTTGGAAGCAGATCCCCAGCTCCAACCAAGTCCTCAGAGACTAAAATATTTAATGGGAACCTCAGTGGGTGGATACCTATGCTGTCAAGAATATCTGTTATAGAGATGTGCAGAAGAAAAAACAAAACCTGGTCTGTTCTAGAATTCATGTGTTTCCTTATAGCCTTAGCACAAATGACTTCATTTTGCTTTGGTTTGGTCTTTTGGGGCCTAGTGCATGAGCTTAGTTCAAAACAATGGCCTCCCAGAATTTTGTTTAAAAAGATTCCCCCTTTTTAACCAAATTCATTTCCTCTTGCCTAGAGACCATCAATCTTCAGATGATCATGCAACAAAGGTTCCAGCCAGTTCCAGGTGAAGACACCGCTCTGGCCATCAAGCAGCTACCGAGAGTTCAGTGATCCCCAATAGGTAGGGAGTATGCCCTAAGCCAGAATGAAGCAGTTACAGAAAAAAGACCATCGGTCCCTCTGCCTCCCATGAAGATTTAGGGAGATCACATCTCTCCTTGAGGAGATGAGGCAGGAAAACAGGGTCTGGAGGCAGGGAACATAAGGCCTATTCACACTTTGGCTATGACAGGAAATATCCTCTTCATGGGGCATAGGCCAAGTAAATGAGTTTGTAACTTTACTTCATCCTCTTCATTTACATAGGGTATACCCCAAGTAGAGGGTATTTAAACTCCCAAAAATTTCGTAATGGGGCCCTTGAGTCCCTATTCTTGGGCCCACTCCCACAACGGGGAGTATACTATAATTTTCAATACATCCTTTCATTTCTTCCTGGAAAAAAAAAAAAAAAAGTCTTCAGAGACTCAGCCCCAGCTGACAGCTTGACAGGTCTGACTGCAATCTCATGAGAGACTCTGAGCCAGAACCAAAATCAGCTGCCCCTGCATTCCTGAATGTCAGGAATTGTGTAAGAAAACATGTTTGTTGTTTTAAGCTGCTAAGTTTTATGGTAATTTGTTACTCAATGATTGATAACTAATACACCCATTATTTTTTATCAATAGACATTCATTCCAAACATTTCTTGATAACAGTAACCTCTTACTGAAGTCAAGGTGGCTTGGTAAAATAGAAATAAAAGTGTCTTAACTTTGTCTTTTTCTGTAACAGATCAGTGTACTCTGAAGTGCATCTGAATCTAAAAGGATGCATTTTCTTCAATGAGAATGCAAAGTAGAAAGTAGCTTGATGGCAATTGCTACCTGCTATTGGGAAAGTCTGAAATACTCACTGACATTACTAAGTGGCCTGTTAATTCAATTACAGAAGAAAAAAATGTCACAAACCATTGCACCATAGCCACCAGGCTGTCACCCTAGAAAGATCAGTGTAGTTATAACAATAATTTTGAAATAGCAAAAGGGAGAATGAAGAGATTAGAAAGCAAATGCATATAAATTCTATCTAGAAAGTTGTACTAATACTTCATGATTGCTAATTTAATCAAAATTAAATTTTTCCAGATTCTTAATATTAACAATTGATTCATTGATCACTGAGAGACCAATGATGCAATTTCTCTTTTGAGCTGATTTGATCACTAGTTGAAACCTAAGGAAGACAAACAGTGACAGTGATGTAGTATTATAAGCTGCAATTCAAAATACCAGCAGGAAAAAAAAAAGAAAAATCAATTAAAAACGTGGTTATTAATTTAGCAGCTGGAAAAACTGGGGATGATCTGGGTGAGGGAAAAGACTACCAAATAAAAATTTAAAAGGTTATGGATAAAAACAAGAGTGAAGCTTAGGGTAGGTAAAAATAAAGTTTTATTATAATTAAGTGTAAATCTTCTCATAGGAAAAAGGAAAAACAAAATCGAGGGCAAGTTAATGCAGATGGCAATTCTAAAGTGTTTTTTCTCTGTAAGTGCAAATCATATTCAAGCAAGCATGCAAGAGGTTAGTTCTACTCACTGTCAGAAGGTTTGCTATCGCTTAGGAAAGGTTGCTGTTCCATGATGTCCATTGGAATTTTAATACTTGGAACTTTTTCTGAGTATGGGCAGTCAGACTGTGAAAAAAATGTACAACAGGTTTTAGAATGTTTTTATTATGCAGCCCTTCCTATCTGCTACTGTCGATCAAACCGTTTTATATAATCATTTACTTAATACTAAGGAGAAAAGCCCTATAATTACTTCCAGTTTGCTATCTTTTAACTATATTCCTTCTTTCCCCCTCACATTTGTTTTCTACTCTTCTGAGTTAATGGTATTGAGTCCATTAAAGCTACAACTACACAAAATAGAGACCACTACAACTGAATTGTAAAGCTTTCTATCACTTAGACTCCCAATCAGCAATGTTTATGAGTTGTATCTGTGAAGCAAATGATCTCAATGCAAAAACAGATTAAACCTAGGAAACTTCCAAAGTTATAATACGGTCTTGAAATTCTTGTTTTGTTTATGCTGATTCCGTCTCTAGGAAAATCATGACCCATCTTTCCTTCTAGAACAAGTGACAGACTTTTTATATATCCACTATCAAGAAGCCTTCTATGTACACTAGAAAATAAACTTTCCTCTCTTACGCTAAGTACTATTTTATGGGTAAAGGTTCATTTCAATTAGCTTGTGGCAAAGATATCTGAAAATGTAAGCAAAACATAAGAAAATAAAATGTTCAAAAAGGTGTCTACGATGGTCAGATAAGCAGAGAATCATAATGGAAATGACAAAACCAGGCAGCTAATCATGGGACTGCTTAAAGAACAGGCCACCTAGCCCAAATTATAATAGATTTCCCAGAGATTACCACTTTGTTTCTTTTAAATGCATTATATTGATTCCAAGTCTATGTTGAGACTGAAAGACCCAATATATCTCTTAATTGAAAGTACCAAAAAGATGATTTTTAGTTGAAAATAAAATGAGATTAATGTTAAAAAAATCTTAACATAGAGTCTATTACCTACATGGAAAATTCCTTTATGGTGACTCTAAAGAGGTTAATATACAACAGTATCCTTTTAGAGAACTAAGACAATGCATTCAACAAGCAAAAAAGAAAAAAAAAAAAACATGCCACACATAAACAATATTAACCTTAAATGTAAATGGGCTAAATGCCCCAATTAAAAGACACAGACTGGCAAACTGAGTAGAGTTAAGACCCATGCGTGTGCTATATTCAGGAGACCCACCGCATGTTCAAAGACACACATAGGCTCAAAATAAAGGGATGAAGGAATATTTACCAAGCAAATGGAAAGCAAAAACAAAACAAACAAACAAACAAAAAAACCAGGGGTTGCAATCCTAGTCTCTGATAAAACAGACTTTATACCAAAAAGCATCAAAAAAGACCAAGAAGGGCATTGCATAATGATAAAGGGATCAATGTAACAAAAAGAGCTAACTATCTCAAACATATATGCACCCAACATAGGAGCACCCAGACTCATAAAGCAAGTTCTTAGAGACCTACAAAGAGACTCCCACAAAATAATAGTGGGAGACTTTAACACCCCACTGTCAATATTAGACAGATCAGTGAGACAGAAAATTAACAAGGATATCCAGGACTTGAACTCAGCTCTGGACCAAGCAGATCTAATAGACATTTACAGAACTCTCCACCCCAAATCAACAGAACATACATTCTTCTCAGCACCACATCGCACTTGTTCTAAAATTGACCACATAATTGGAAGTAAAACACTCCCGAGCAAATGCAAAAGAATGGAAATCATAACAAACAGTCTGGACACAGCTAAAGCAGTGTTTAGAGGGAAATTTATAGCACTAAATTCCCACAGGAGAAAGCAGGAAAGATATAAAAATTGACAGTCTAACATCACAATTAAAAGAACTAGAGAAGCAAGAACAAACACATTCAAAAGCTAGCAGAAGAAAAGAAATAACAGGCCGGGCGCGGTGGCTCAAGCCTGTAATCCCAGCACTTTGGGAGGCCGAGACGGGCGGATCACGAGGTCAGGAGTTCGAGACCATCCTGGCTAACACGGTGAAACCCCGTCTCTACTAAAAAATACAAAAAACTAGCCGGGCGAGGTGGTGGGCGCCTGTAGTCCCGGCTACTCGGGAGGCTGAGGCAGGAGAATGGCGTAAAAACCCGGGAGGCGGAGCTTGCAGTGAGCTGAGATCCGGCCACTGCACTCCACCCTGGGCGACATAGCGAGACTCTGTCTCAAAAAAAATAAATAAATAAATAAAAATAAAAATAAATAACAAAGATCAGAGCAGAATTGAAGGAGATAGAGACACAAAAAACCCTTCAAAAAATCAATGAATCCAGGAGCTGTTTTTTGAAAAGATTAACAAAATAGACCACTAGCCAGAATAATGAAGAAGAAAAGAGAGAAGAATCAAATAGGCACAATAAAAAATGATAAAGGGGATATAACCACTGACCCCACAGAAATACAATCTACCATCAGAGAGTACTATAAACACCTCTACACAAATAAACTAGAAAATCTAGAAGAAATGGATAAATTCCTGGATACATACACCCTCCCAAGACCAACTCTGGAAGAAGTTGAATCCCTGAATAGAACAACAAGTTCTGAAATGGAAGCAGTAATTAATAGTCTACCAACCAAAAAACGTCCAGGACCAGATGGGTTCACAGAAGAATTCTACCAGCAGTATGAAGAGGAGCTGGTACCATTTCTTCTGAAATTATTCCAAACAATAGAAAAAGAGGGACTCCTCCCTAACTCATTTTATGAGGCCAGCATCATCCTGATACCAAAACCTGGCAGAGACACAACAAAAAAAACAAAATTACAGGCCAGTATTCCTGATGAACATTGATGTGAAAATCCTCAAGAAAATACTGGTAAACTGGTAAAATACTGGTAAAATACAGAAGCATATTAAAAAACTAATCTACCACGATCATGTTGGCTTCATCCTTGGGACGCAAGGCTGGTTCAGCATAGGCAAATCAATGAACATAGTCCATCACATAAACAGAACCAATGACGAAAAACACATCATTATCTCAATAAATACAGAAAAGGCCTTCAATAAAATTCAACAGCCTTTCATGCTAAACACTCTAAATAAACTAGGTATTCATGGAATGTATCTCAAAATAATAAGAGCTATTTATGACAAACCCACAGCCAATATCATACTGAATGGGCAAAAGCTGGAAGCATTCCCTTTGAAAACTGGCACAAGACAAGGATGCTCTCTCTCACCACTCTTATTCAACATAGTATTGGAATTTCTGGCCAGGGCAATCAGGCAAGAGAAAGAAATAAAGGGTATTCAAATAGGAAGAGGGGAAGTCAAATTGTCTCTGTTTGCCAATGACATGATTGTGTATTTAGAAAACCCCACTGTCTCATCCCAAAATCTCCTTAAGCTGATAAGCAACTTCAGCAAAGTCTCAGAATACAAAATCAATGTGCAGAAATCACAAGCATTCCTATACACCAATAATAGACAGAGAGCCCAATCATGAATGAACTCCCATTCACAATTGCTACAAAGAGAACAAAATACCTAGGAATACAATTGACAAGGGATGTGGAGGACCTCTTCAAGGAGAACAACAAACTACTGCTCAAGGAAATAAAAGAGGACACAAACAAATGGAAAAACATTCCATGTTCATGGATACAAGAGTCAATATCATGAAAATGGCCGTACTGCCCAAAGTAATTTATGGAATCAATGCTATCCTCATCAAGCTGCCATTGACTTTCTTCACAAAATCAGAAAAAACTACTTTAAATTTCACATGAAACCAAAAAAGAGCCCATATAGCCAGGACAATCCTAAGCAAAAAGAACAAAGCTGGAGGCTTCACACTACCTGACTTCAAAGTATGCCACAAGGCTACAATAACCAAAACAGCATGGTACCAGTACCAAAACAGATATATGGACCAATGGAACAGAATGGAGGCCTCAAAAATAATGTCACACATCTACAACCATCTGATTTTTGACAAACCTGACAAATACAGGCAGTGAGGAAAGGAGTCCCTATTTAATAAATGGTGTTGGGAAAACTGGTTAGCCATATGCAGAAAATTGAAACTGGACCCCTTCCTTACATGTTATACAAAAATCAAATCAAGATGGATTAAAGCCTTAAATATAAGATGTAAAACTATAAAACCCTAGAAGAAAACCTAGGCAATACCATTCAGGACATAGGCATGGGCAAGGACTTCATGATTAAAACAGCAAAAGCAATGGCAACAAAAGTCAAAATTGACAAATGGCATCTAATTAAACTACAGAGCATCTGCACAGCAAAATAAATTATCATCAGAATGAATAGGCAACCTACAGAATGGGAGAAAATTTTTGCAATCTATCCATCTGACAAAGGGCTAATATCCAGAATCTACAAGGAACTTAAACAAATTTACAAGAAAAAACAACCCTATCAAAAAGTGGGCAAAGGATATGAACAGATACTTCTCAAAGGAAGACATTTATGCAGCCCACAAACATATGAAAAAAAGGTCATCATTGCTGGTCATCAGACAAATGCAAATCAAAATCACAATGAGATACCATCTCATGCCAGTTAGAATGGCAATCATTAAAAAGTGAGGAAATAAGAGATGCTGGAGAGGATTTGGAGAAATAGGAATGCTTTTACACTGTTGGTGAGAGTCTAAATTATTTCAACCATCGTGAAAGACAGTGTGGTGATTCCTCAAAGACCGCAATAGCATTTGACCCAGCAACCCTATTACTGGGTATATACCCATATACCCAAAGGATTATAAATCATTCTACTATAAAGACACATGCACATGCATGTTTATTACAGCACTGCTCACAATAGCAAAGACTTGGAACCAACCCATATGCCCATCCATGATAGACTGGATAAAGAAAATGTGGCACATATATACCATGGAATACTATGCAGCCATAAAAAAGGATGAGTTCATGTCCTTTGCAGGGACATGGATGAAGCTGGAAACCATCATTCTCAGCAAACTAACACAGGAACAGAAAACCAAACACCACATGTTTTCACTCATAAATGGGAGTTGAACAATTAGAACACATGGACACAGGCAGAGGAACATCACACACTGGGGCCTGCCCGGGGGTAGGGCACTACGGGAGGGATACCAGTAGGAAAAATACCTAATGTAGATGACAGGTTGATACGTACAGCAAACCATCATGACACGTGTATACCTATGTAACAAACCTGCACAATCTGCACGTTTCCCAGAACTTAAAGTATAATAATAATGAAAAAGATGCTACATACACTTACCTTTATGAGAATGTCAAAAACAGTAAGTCATTACAGTATTTCAAACATTTTCCAAAATAATAGCACTTATAGATGGATGAGTTGGCAGCCAACCCTTAATCACAGCCTACCAGGCAGATTAAAAAATGACTGTGAGTGGCTCAAAATGTTGGTAAGCCATAATTTTTACTATTTGTGCTCATAAATATTATATTATAGCTATAACTCCCATGTCCCCACGTGACTCCCTATATCCATGGGCCCCAAACCCTTTGACTAAGAAGTAAACTTAGGAGAACCACATTCCTAAGTGGAGCCCCTAAATAATGAGTTCAACACACAAAACGTACTGCACAGATGTACTCCAAATTGCCTAGCTGGATTCACTGTCTAGGAACAAATGTATATGTTTGTTTGTTTGTTTTGGAATGGGTAGGATGAAGAGGAAGAGGAAAAAAACCAAGTATGACACTTTGGCTTCAAGAAATCTGTCGGAAGTGGTAAATATCAATAGAAAAAAAACACTTTAAATGAAATAGGATTTGCTGGAAATCATATCTAAGAATTGGAAGAACTTCTAAGGAGTTCTTTTGATCCAACTTTTGTCACTAGAGAGCAGTACATTTAAAACATTCTCCAAAGTTGATATTTTACTATTTTTTCTTAAAAATCATTAGAGAGGGGGATTCCATAATCCCTCACTTCATACGTTCATAATGTGTAATGAACTTTAAATTTGATGTCCATGTACATAAGTTGACATATTTATTTTGGACAAAATACTGCTTTAATTATTTCAATATTTCAGGCAGTCTTTTTTTTTTTTTTTTTTTTTTTTTTTTTGGTCTTCAGTGGTCCAGAAATTCATTTCAAATTTTAATTTCTATTAAATGTGTAAACACATCATTCTTTGGACTATTCCATCTTAATCCCTGCTGTAGTTTAAACACATTCTTTTTCTGTCATCACTGGAAACAAAATCTATACACCTGTTCTCATTGTAGATGGACGATGACAGTCATAAAGCTCTTTTCACCTCTTTTTCTCTTTAGCTAAATGTGCCTCATGCATTAAGTCTTTTTCTTATTGAATCAATTTATGTGAAATCCAATTCTGTCTCTTGCCTTCTTTCACTGTACTATTTCCAAGTTCTACAAAAAGAATACAATCAGACAGCCTGACCAGTTGGAAATAACCAGAGAGGCCTGGATTTGAATTTTGGCTTTGCCATTATGGCTGTGTACAATTAGAAAAATGACTTAAATATACATGTCAAAGCCTCACCTTACATATTTACAATTTTATTTGTCAATCATACCTCAATAAAGCTTTAAAATTTTTACAAAATACTTAACATTTCTCAGTCTAAATTTCCTCATCTGTAAAATGGGAACACAAATAAATACTGTGATAACAAGCTATTGAGACAATTAAGGATAAGGTATGCAATGATCAATCAAAGTTATCAAGTAGTAAGTAGAAACTAACAATTAACAATATTCCTACTTTAGAATGGGTAATGATGCACAAAAAATCGTTTGTGATACTGCACTGTGTAAAATCCAGAGCAAATTTTCAAATGGAAAACACTTTGGCAATCTTTTCAAAAGGCTACTGGAATAAGGTGTGTGCCTGTGTTAAAGTAAACAAATCCCAGTTTTTCTCCTAGCACTGATTACAGACCCCTACTGGAGAATCTGTATTTCTGTGAGCTGGTTTCCTAAAGAAAAAAATTGGGCAAAATTTTACTTCTCAACTTAATCACCTAATTGGAGGAGGACCCTCTAGACTATGACACTAACCACTACAATTATGTAAAAAGACCCCAAACTCCAATTCCCTTTTCTTTTTATTGAAGAGCTACAGAAAAATAATGCTAAATCATATTAGTATAAATATAATGCTATGATTAATATAACAGCATAGAACTTTGGTGGAAAGCCTACTCAAATAGATTCATAGATTATACAAAGTGAGATCATCGACATCTATCCACATTAGGCTTAAAATTACATAAAATTGAGTTATTATCTCAAATATAAGCCCTGAATTATTAATAGAAACCAAATACATTTTATAGCATTACTAAGCAAACTTCCTTTATGAGATCAGAACTTTTTTAATGTGGTGGGTTTTAAAATTTTTTAGAAGTTATTATTAGTCATTATGTCATTATTAGGGTATTAATGGTTACAGAAAGACTTCAGAAAATATAAAAAACCAAAGAGAGAATATAAAGGGCAAAGGGATGTGAAATGAGTAATATACCACATGTCCAGATAAACATTCTTAGAACTCAGCCCTCCATTTCACATCAGGTATAAAAAGGCACAATTTTCACATTTGTTTCTTTAACTAGTTTTCCTTTGGAATTTGGAAAGTTCCTTACATCATCATTGTCACTGTCCAGACTTCCCTTCTTCTTTTTCTTTTTCTTCTCATCCTCTTTCTTTTTCTTGTCCTTTTCTGGAATGACATCATCGAGGAAGCTGAGGTCGTGCTGGGAGAAGAGGTAGTCCATGCCTTTTCTGACAGCTACAAGTGCCAAGATCTGAAAGAGCAAATATTAAAAGTATGGAAGAAACCATGTCAGATGAAGTCACAGCAAGCACAGATACTCTCCTATCAAAGTCCACAGAAACCTACTTTGTGTAAGGCTGGATAGAGTATGACAGACCTGATCTTGACGGTATGGACTTATACCAAGTGAACTCTCATAATTTTCTATATGGGAAAAGTTGTTTTATAAAAGTCTTAGTTGAAACTCACTTTGTTTTGTTCACTGAAATGCATGATCACATTCAATTAGAATTTTAATGTGAAAGGATTGTTTTTCAAAACCATTTCCTTCCATGTGAGATTTTAAATAAAATAATTAAAAGTTTAAAGTCACAAAATAGCTGACATACGATTTCTAAGTATTAAAAATTAAAACGTTATAAAGGTTTTTAGCAATCAAGAAAATCTGTACGACACACAGAATACTGAGACATCTTCCAAGTATTCACAATGAGGTAGTATTTGAATATGCATAGACCATTTCATTCACTGGGCTACTTCAATCATCACCATTAACCGAATACTTAACATATCCCAGACACTATATTAAACTCTTAGGCAATATTATCTCATTTATTCTTCAAAACAAACCCCAAAAGTAGGTATTATTATTTCTGTCATACAGCTGAGGAAACTGAAGGTTAGAGACATTAAGTATGTTGTCCAAGATCCTTAATGTCTGTGAGGGAGATGAATCCAGATAATTGAATAATACAAAAGGCCCCAGTTGTCTGCTTCCAAAACAAATATTCTTGACCTGTGTATTTCTGGTTCTATGAATTGCTCTTGAAGAATAACTTCTGAAGTTATATTAAGATACTTCTGAAGGTAGAATTAAGATATCTTTATTCTACATTAAAATTAATATGCAGCAAGTTATAGGCATCCTGACTTGCTTCAAACTAAGCAGTTGTCTTTATCAGCATCATGCTCTCGATATGACAGTTTCCTCATCGCCTAGAGAAATAAATAATGTCTGTCCTAACTTCTATTACAGAATTATTTTGTGACCAAATACAAGTTCTGAAAAGACAAAAACGCTTTAGAAAAGTAAAGCATTTTAAAATTATTATTTAGCACAAGGAAAAAGTGATTTATTGGATATAATTCAAATGTACCCTGCTCTAGCTTCAATTTTCTTGGTTTCAGCAAAATTTGTAGGTAGGCAGATAACACTGATAGGTAAATCTGAGTGTTTCTCATACTCAGTGTGCTTTTCAGTAAGTTAATATAGTTTTTTTTTTAAAAAAAAAAAAGGAAAGAAAGACATAAGGCACCATTAAGAAAAAAAAATCTGACCTAACAAATATGACTAGTATTTAACATCCATTTTTTCTTGCATCGTTGGGAGAAAAAAAATTTCAAACAAATACAAAAAATAAAATAATAATCTTGGCTAAGAGTAAGAGGATTTTTATAAAAATAAAATGTGGTAAGTGTAGGAAAATTCTGTTTTCAAACCTGCGGGGGAGATAAAACAGACTCGAGGCTCCCTTTGTAACTTGTTTTAAGTGTACATAAATGCATTTTCTTGTAAGAAGTAAAGAGTTATGGTAAAGTATAAAATTCAATAATGAAGCCAAATACAAAACTTCTTTTTCTCTTCTTTCACTTGTGACTCAGAGTGAAACATTAGTTGCTTTACCTTGTTTCTCATCATATTATGACAAGGATAGAGAGTCCCACCTTATCTTTAAACTTAGCATTATGCAAACCACAAGAAATGTAAAAAGTGAACTTCTCACTCCATTTCTTCTAATGTACTGGATGAGTTCTCACAAGTTGCCAAGCACTTCGTCATTACTTGAACTGAAATGTCCTACACTCTTACTTAGATTAATTCTATTGTACAACATTTAAAAAGTAATTAACATGCACTGGTGTTTACTATGTGTCAGGCATTGTGCTACATGTTTGATAGTCATTTTTGATGCTCAGAAAAACAACAATGCAACCCCCATTTTACTGATGAAGTAATAGTAGTTCAAAGAAGTTTACTGATGAGCATGAACCAGGGCCAGTATATGAACTCAGGTGAGCCTGATTCTAAGGTCCATCCTAGACAACCATAAACATGGGAAATGTAAATTACAACTGATCAAAGTGATGAGGTCAAAGCTGGAAAAATTTGGAACAATACATAAAAGACATGTGAGTCTTCCATATAACAATAACCACATGATACCCATATAATCTCACAGGTACATTCAATTAAAGGAATCCCTACCATTACTGGAAAAATGATAGCAGCCACCGTTGACTTGAGGATCCAAAGCAGGGCCAGACACAACACCTGCAGGAAAGTGAACAGGTGGACTCTGCGCAGGGGAACATGACGCAGGTAGATAAAGTCAGGCTGATGCTTCAGAGGCATCAGAAGCAGCTTCAGACGATCCATGAACTGGGGAGGAAAGAAGAAGGGAGTCCAAATGTATTACTGCATTACATTTCCACTATGCCTAACTAATCATTACTGATTTATATTCTATAATTTAGGCAAGCAACGTCCTTTTCAGAGGACAAAGGAATGCAGAAATTTAGTCAAGCACACTAAAGCACAAGTCTTCAAATCTTTGTCATTATATTGTGGGAATGTTATGTAGATGTGTAAGAAAAAGTGGCCACTAAATAATAAAGTCACAAAGCAAAACATAAATTCTAGGAGCTCATCTCCTAATTTCTATTTTTACTCTTTGAGTCTCAGGAAAGAGGATCTTTTGCCTATTTTAGTAATAATATGCTGAAGGAAGCCATCTAACTCATGTATCTTACTCTGCCTCAGTTGTCTTATCTCAAAAAAGAGGAGATAATACTATGCATCATATATTAACACATTTCAGGAATGTTTTAAGGATATAAAGGAAGTATTCAACTTAAAAATGGGAATACATTATGTTTTCATAAATTCCATATTATTTATCTGAGCAGCATACCTTGACTAATACACTCAGCAATCTATCACCATTTCTTTTCAGAGAAAAGCTATATGAATACTACAGTGAGTTTCAGGGTCAACATCTGAACCTAAGAGAGGCTATCGTATGGTCATGTATAAACAGCTATTGAAATAACTACTGAGCATCTGTGTGCCAGGTGCTGTGCTTCAAAGAATAACTGCCGAATTGACCTTGCCAGTGACAAACGGGAAGATATTCAAGAACCTATCACAGGATATTTCAATGAAAGATGCTCAGTAAATAGCTATTGAATTGAATAATCATGCAATATGAACTCTGAAATAATATCTCTATTTTCTTTCTGGAGGGAAAGAAGTGCAAAAGTAAATTAGACCATCGCAATCTTCTCTAGTGATTTCTTACTTAAAGGGTTTTCTTTTTCCCTCTAGAATTATTTTTGACTGGTGGGGACCTTCTCATTTATAAAGTTTGGGTTACAAAATTTCTTTACAAATTACAAAATTTGCTAAATCAAATCTCACCAAAAAGGTCTAAACAAGGGAAAATCGAGAAAGAAAAAGAAAAGCCATTAGAGGCAACAGCATTGCAGAATTTAAGAAACCTACTAGCTAGACCCTGGCTGTTTCTCCCCATCATTACTATGTGGTTGATTTTTTCTTCTTTTTAATTAAATAAACGTGCACTGAGTTTCAAACAATAAAGCCCCTAAAACACATAGAATTAAACTTCTGATCTAGACCGGGTCATCAAAGACAAACAAAAATAAGAACTATTCGTCTGCGGGCCATTTCTGTTTCATATTTTTCCATTTTGGAAAATAAAGAATATTTACAATGGCAGGTAAAAATAAGATATTTTTACAAATTTATACTTCTCAAAAGTCTCATGAGCACAAATAAACTCACATTCATCTAGTCCAGTCTATGAAGAACCACCTTGTATTTGTAACAAATATCCAAAAGATGATGAACTCTACTCAGCAGACCTAAACAGAGAAAAGTAAAGTAGCCTTTTCTCTCTTTGATGGTCTGGCCGCTTGCCCAGTTCTATCTGACTTTAAAACCAAATTAATCTGAACTTGATAAGCAAAAGCAAAGACTATTTTGAAGGGGTTCAAATAAATTCTTAGGATGTTCACAGGACACGCAGTCTCTTCCCATTAAAATGTTACTAAGTGCTAAATAAAGCTACAGTTAACAAGGTGCCAGAAAACAGCATAAGTACTTCCAGTTTCCTGGTGCCAATTAAATTAAAACCCAACTGAAAGACAAAGTCCCTTACAAAGTTTTCCCTAATGATTTTTTTTTTTTTTTAAAGAGACAGGTTCTCACTATGTTGTTGAGGCTGGACTAAAACTCAGGTTCAAGTGAACCTTTCACCCCAGCCTCCCAACTAGCTGAGACTAAAAGTGTGCACCACCGTGCCCAGCTGATAATGATTTTATTAAAAGTGTGTCAGTTTTCCCAAAGTTACGAATAGCTAAAGTTTTCAACAAAAGCAATACATCAACCACACTAACTTTATTCTTTGGTTGGTAAAAACCTTTTGATTATTGATCATAGCCATGTGAAAAGCAAATCAATACCCTGTTCTTAGTATACAGTTAAGGCAAATGGATAAATACTATCTTGAAGACACACAGAAAGGGTTAGGTATCCTTCCTGAGACAGTAAACAGGAGATAAAGATGGGTAAGGGGGAGGAAAAGAAAGATTATAGCCTCTCGCTTTCTTGGTTAAATGACTTTTAACAGCCTATTTCAACAATGGGTATGTATGGTAACATTTGCTAATACTGGCTAACTTGTCGATTAAACCAGAAATGAAAAGCAGGTGAATGGTGAAGTAGAAAATAAATGCATTTTACAAACTCAGCAGTTAATAAGGATTAGCACTTTTCTTCAAAGATCTGTTACTGGACTATTCTTATTACTAGAAAAACACTACTGTACTTACATTGCTGTTCAAAAACTTACCTGCACACCATTAAGGGATGCTACTCCCATATACAGGAACACACCATAGAGTACAGGCATGGGTATAAACTAGAAAGAAAAAAAATTGGATAAAAGTTAAAAACGATAATAAGAAAAAAGAGGAATGAAGAGGAATCATTTAAATGAAGACTAAATCTAAAACTAAAATATAGGATAGAATAACATAGTGACCTCTAACTAGTATGCTTTACTAGTCAATTGATGAACTTCTAAACTCTTTGTAAGAGAAATAAATGAAGAAGGGTAAAAAGGACTTTCAATTTTCATTGGATGCTTGTTTTTTTAGTGAGCATGCATGACCTTACTAGTAACTTTTTTTAATTAATGGAGGAAAAGTTCTGTTTCCCTTTACCCTGAAAAGGAATGACTATGTAAACCAGGAGCTTATATGGACTCTGAGGTAGACAGAAATAGAGGTATTAAGAGATGGTTGCCTCATTCTTGAGACCAAGTTCCTTTCAATATAGTTTGTTGATTTTTGTCCTTAATAATTTTTGCCATATCATCTATCAGCTTGGTATATATATGCCTCTTTCAATAAAATAAACATCAAAAGACTGTCCCCTCACTTCCTGCGAATATTATGAGAACTAACTAAAAAGAGCACTGCTTGAAAGGACCCTGGAGCACCTGGAAGCAATTAATTACACACATGGATTAATACACATCTTTTAAAACTGAATTAATACCTTTTCATGCATTAACTAGCAAAAATATTTTATATTAATACAAAGTGTTTTAACACGAAGTGATGACTGTAAACTGTACCTATTCCTAGACCTTTGAAATGTCCCTAGTACTGAGGAAACTAAGCAAATCAAGGATGATTCTGTTTCTGGGAAGTCTCCTGTTTGAAAAACAAAAGGTTCCCAACCTTAGAATTTGAAAAGAAGTTCAAGTAATTTCAGGATTTTTCAAAGCTAAAATACTAAAACCGCAAGTCAATTAAGGCCAATCTTACCAAATCCACATAAAGGAGGCTGTTGTAACCAGAAAACATAGTATGGCTTTAGAGTAATTTTAAAAATACTGCACGTACTAAGCACAATTTCTATCAGCCTCTCCTTGTGATTGTCTAAAGTAGTTCCGTATCTGAGACTCTTCGGCCACTATTCGAGAATGAGTAAATTCTAAAATGTGTAACAAATATTTCCAATTTTTGTTGGTTAGCCATAGGGATGCTTAAATTTCTGTGAAATAAATATATATATATATACACACACACACACACACACACACACACATAAAATCAAATGCTTCTTCAAAAAAAAGACTAACAATTCTAATGTAGCTAATTTTGCTCTTGATGTCAGAAAAAAATCAAAGTGACATAGAATGTCGATGGGGGTAGGAGGGATGATGTTCCTGCTGGGGAAGCTGTAATACCTAACAGTCACCACAAAGAGGTGAACACATCACACTCAAGCCGCTTTTATTTCTGACACATGCCTTCATTTCTTTTGCAATGCGCATGTTTCTATTCCTTGTGATTCTTGTGTATAAATGTACCATAAAGTAAAAAAATAAAACTAAGAGAAGGATCATTTCATAGCTTTGATTCATTTTTTAAACATCTTCCATTTTTCTTGTCCTTTCATTTGTAATTTGGTGGGTAGTGGGGGTGGGGCCGCTGGAAGGAAAAAAAGTAAGAAGGGAAAAGAGAAGTATAGTTCAACCATAGAAAACTAGTTAGAATTCCTGCAGTAGTTACTTTTTAATCTGGGTAAAGCATGTGTCTAGCTTGAAAGAAAGCTACCACAAAGGGACCATCCCTGGCCTCATCCCCACCCCTCAGCTAGGCTTAGCTAAATGTTTTTTCTAATGTGGTTCTAATGTCAAAGTGAAGGACACTTTTGCCTTGGTGCTTAGGTCCATTCTCTGTGAATTTGTGATTACAGATATCACCAAATCTACAACAAAATAAAATCAGAAGGTGTCAGTAACACAGAATGGCATGGGTTGTGGGTAGAAAAATAGCTTTAGATATGAAGATGTTTTTTAAACAGTTATTCTTTGTCGAAAAGGAAATAATACATATAAAGAAGGCTATTAAGTTGATTTTGGGCCAATTTCAAAGTCATAAAAATATATCTTTTGAAATTTGCCATTTTCCTTATGATAATGCAACACCTCATTAAAAATCTTCCAGTATGGGAACTTTGATGAAACTTGACAGAATTATTGGGTTAGAGGATACTTTTTATTGGATTTAGTTCATGAGTCACAGGAGGTCAGTTTTTAAAAATTCATCACAAAATAATCATTTCTTGTAATAGAAATTTCTCAAAGGAGGAAAGAGAAGATGCATTTTAAGAAGATGGAACTCCATCTTAAGTTAAACCAGTATAATTTACATAATAATAATAGGTAGATATTTTTACAAAGCAAGACAGGAATAATTAAAACATAAACAGCACAAAGCATACCAGGCTTACAGGCATATCAAGAATTGCCAAATGATAAAATTATGCAAAGGAAATTTTATAGATAACCAATCATACCCAGAAAGCACAAAAGTAAATTATAAATAAGATTACCATACATGAAATCAAGTATTGCTCCTACAAGCCGATGGAATAATTGAGATAAAATCAAAATAGCAGATAACATATTCAGACCATGTCACCAAATTTTTCAAATTCTGGTGAACACAGTTCTACTCTTTCTCACTTATACCTCCCTTTGATGTGCTGATAGTATTTGAATATTCCCAGAAGAGTCAACGAGAAAGGGTAAATTTTAAAATAAGGGTAGAGAGTAGTTATGCAACCAGAATTAGGTAGGACAGTGAGATTTTCTAGCAGAGTAATGGTCACTGTGTGTGTGTGTGTGCGTGCGTGTGTGTGTGTGTGCGCGCACACATGTGAATGTACAACCCAGAATGAGATCCTGATTAAGAGCATGGGCACACAAGTCAGACAGGCCTACTTTCAAATTCTGGCCCTACCACTTCTGTAACATTAAGAAAATTATTAACTTTTCTTATCCTCAGTATTCTCACTCAAAGAGGGTATGATAAAGACTATATCACATAAAATATGTAGTCCAGGGCCTGGTTCTGAATAGATGATAAATGATAAAGGGGTTATTAATGTCATAATCGTCACGAGGACCTGACTGGCAAGTTGAGAAGCCTGCAATTGCCCAGCAGAACTCTCTTTGGTCCTCAGTGGTCAGGGTGGAAAATGGCAGGAGTACAGACCAAAAAAATGGTTGCAAAGGTCAGACTCAAAGCCCTGGTTTTATTTAAGTTCTATTACATTGCCCTTTCAGCAATGACAATTATATTCAGAAACATGTTATTCAAATAATATCCTAATTCCCTTAAATCTTGACAATCTAAGCTGATAAGGAAGTACTGACTTGCAATCTGGTTTCTAGTCATTGAAGAAACTGGAATGAGGTATGATGAGGAGTTTGTGAAAAAGCTGTATTTATCTGCACATGAGAGGATTAGAAGTTGGATCAAAGAAGCTGGAGAAGATCATCTCATGGAAAATGAAAGTGAATGAGTTCTTTGAGAGCAAGTACTATGTTTTCTTTTAAATGGTTGTAAACCCTGAGGGTTATGAGATTGGCTTTCATGTCAGAACTGCCTGAATTCACATTTTCACTCTATTATTTATGAACTTTGTGACCTGGTAAGTCATTAATAAATTTTCTTATCTGTAAAATAGAGACAATTTTTTTGTAGGTGTCATTCATTGAAGGACTAAATTTTAAAAATCTGTGCTGAGCCCTTAATCAAATGCCAAGCTCAATAAATGGCAGCTACTATTATCATCATCATCATCACCATCACCATCATCTCCACCATTTTGCTTTATTTCCCTGGCACTGAACAAACAGACATATTGTGGCATATTGTAGAAGCTCAACAAACATTTTCCAAATACAAATTAAATGCTCTCCTGATTTTAGAACACTAAACAAATATTAAAGATAAATTTGACTACTCCTAATTAACTTGAAATAAACTATTTCAAGCAAGGGCAACAAAGGTAGCAGTGAACTTCACTTGATTCTTATTTCTTCAGACTTGCCAGAAAAATGGGAAAAGTAAGCGCAAGGAAGTGCCTTTCATCTTTTTGATGCTCTTTAGCCTCCTCTGGTTTCCCCATACAGAATATTCACTTACCAGGCAATATTTCTGTTGCAGAAACACAGAACTAAGCTGTTTAACCAGCTATGGACGCCAGTTATTCTTGCTTCCCAACAGTTCAGTACCAAATCAGCTGTTACATTCAGTGCTTTGAGGCATGTATGACTGTTGCTGGCTAGGGTCAATGGGGTATCCTCGTGAACCTAAAACTTCATGTTCAAAGTAAGCTTGCATAAACAGGCAGGGGAAACAACTTGCTACACTGCTTAATGCATGAAAGAAAATTACTAGGATCATCTGAGACCATCAAACTTGTGAGGGAGGTATGGAGTTTGCAGAAATGGTGTTGAGCCATTTCATTTTAAAAAGTAAAAGTAACACATTTCTCTTTTCCCATTCATTTGATCTGCCTTTTCAAAGACAGACTCTTAAGTAAAATTATTCTCTTAAGTTGTCCTCTAGTTCTCTTAAAAAACACATAGTCACAAAGGGGAGGAAGAAAGGTTCCCTACTCCAGCATAACCCCTGACACCACTTTCTGTGTGAATTCTACGGTTAATTGTTAATCTTGACTCTTACTTAGTCATAACTTAGGTTTTAGATAAACTGTACCCTCAATATCTGCTTCTTCCTGTATTGACTTTTCAAATGAGCTAACAAGGGATTTGTGATAAACGCACATAACTTACCAAACCTCAATGGTACATGATCTGAAAGTAGCTGACTTTATCAGGAGTTGTGATTCCAGAAGGAATAGCCTAACTTACTGAAGTAAGGAATCACAACTGGGAATCCTTATTTTATTCTTGTTGTTTTTAAGTATAGGTTTTGTACAGTATGCTATAAACTATGTTGCCAAAACAATTTCATTTCCCACCTTTTGGGGAAAACCTTGCTTAACAAAAACGTTTGCTGGACTGCATTTTTCATTTATTCTTACAATGTCTCTTTGGGTTAACGCAAAATTGCCAGGTGGAAATAGTCACAATCATGGACACTAGCAGCTGAATGAGGGTGAGCCCAGGTATGGGTTAATTAAGGAAGGTTAAAGGAAAAGAAAGCTCCTGCTCACTGATCTTTTACAGCTCTCTGCCTTGCCTTCTTTCTCTGCATTCTAATCTGTTTCTGTAAATACTAAGGCACTTTGCCTATCAGGGGTGAAAAGAATCATTGTAAAGAACAAAAGAACTTTCAGCTTTAACTCCTCTGCAGCCATATTTGGGTGCAGGGTGAGAAAATGGTTAGGAAGAGGCGTTGTTGAAAATGTAAGTCTTGCATCTCTCCTAAAAATAGTAATTTTACAGTATCTGTTCTCTGTGTCCTCTTGGAATCATCCATGATTACTCAACTGTCAGATTCTCTAGGAATAAAGCCAATCTGCTATAACGTATACACACAAAAGGAACTTTTAAACACATCTGACTTTTTTGAATTACGATTTTATACTGTATTAATGAAAAGAAATACTATAAAAATAAAAGAAAAATGGGGGACGTGATGAGTAAATTAGAACTGATGAAAAGATTTCTGCCCATTTCTCCCTCACCAGTGACTGAGCACAAAGAGAGCTCATAAAAGAAACTCTGCAGCTGCTCGAAGTGAGCCCACCTTCAAGGAACCCACAGGGAAAATTCATTTCTAGGAGAGCCTCTCACAACATGGGTTCATAATTGTCTGCAATGAACTCTCTAAAAATGATCTCACTAGATGAGGTTCCATTGCTTAAAAGGTAACGCTGTCATTAGGCTTTCCACCAGCTGATGTGCTGGTGCCTATAGGATAACGGAGGAACATAAAGCATTTGGCAGCAGATTCGATGCTGTGAAAGTCACCACACCTTCACACCTATCCCATAACTTGCTTTGCACTGGCAAAGGTGACAAAAGGTTTCCCTCTGTCCCTGCAGAACATAAGCTCTGTACTCTTTTAAGGCCCTCTGTACCTAGTCAGAAACAACTTTTCTGAGGTTATTTTTAATCTTAACGTCTTGTGTAAGATGAGATACATATTCCTCATGAATCCAGTCAGAAATTAATTAAACCAGTTAATTGACATTGTGGAAACCAAGGAAAAAAGATGAATAATTACATATTTTAACTGTTTAACAAGTATTTTGTGCACACAGTCTAAACCCCCTGAAGGCCATCTTAGTCTTATTTATAGGTCAAAGATATTACAGTTCCACTTCCCTCAACTTCATCTGATTGGCAACGGACATAAAATTTGCTAATTTTAGAGAAACAGAGGGCTTTTGCTTTTCACTTTTTGTACTTCTATATTGTTTGAATTCTTCAGAAGATTGTACTGCTCCACTACTTATGTAATTAAATGAACATTTTAAAAGTCTTTAAAATTAAAATTGTTTAAAAATAAACATTTTAAGAGAAAATTGGTTAGGATATCATTAGCAGTGGTTATTTATAGCTGTTAGGTCCACAGGTGACTTTCATGCTTTGTACTGTGGTACAAAGCATAAGATACAAATTATCAATAATTCACAAGCATGTTTATATGATTGAAAAAAATAAAATGTTTGCATCACAGAAGAAAACTGGAAGCTTCATGAAGAGGTATACACTAACTTTCATTAGTTTTTTTTCCTACTTCTTAATAGGTTTTCACATACAGTTTCCATTTATCTATCTAGGCAGATATCCAACCCATTAATAAACCTATATATTGACTCCTAATTTTCTAAACAAGCTATATCATAGAATTTTTCTTCTTCAAAAGTTCATTTCTAAAGCTTTCTAATTATGAGTCAGTAATTTTACTCTGATTCACCTTTGTGAATTATGAGGTCATCTGATTCAAATAAAATAGAAACAAAGTAATAATTAACAATAGTCGAAAAATTTCAAAATGGTCATCCTGCATCACTCATGTTATTTAGGAGTCTAATGAGGGAAGAGGGACAAGATTTGGATACAAGCAAATGGAAGGTGATAGAAGAAAGAATGTATAAAAGATAAGGAGAATAAAAAATATCTGTGTGGAGGAGGAGGAGAAGATCAGTCTAATTCAATTGCATGAAACTGTTTTCACAGATCAGAAAGTTTGGATATTGTTAATTTAATACAGTTCAATCAAGTAACTGCAAAACTAAGGATAAGGGAGGGGATGAAAGACTGAGAAGGAAATCAAGACAAAAGGTATTTAAAGCCCTCTTTCTACTTGACCCCTGCTTCAGTGTGTTACAGAACTGATGAGAATCTTGCAAGTATCTCATAAGGAATTTCACTCTTCACATGTCCAATTATATGTCAGTGTTCTGAGAAGAAGGAAGAGATGAATGTTTCACATATTTACCTTCAAGATGGGAGCCATAAAGACTGACAGACCAGTCAGAATAAACACAAGGGTTCCAGTGACTCTTTGTTCCCTGAAACCAAATCAAAAGATTACCAATCTACCTCTTGTCTTCATAAACATGCGCTTGTCTTTTCACCTTCAAAAAAAAACAACTACACATTGACAAAATCAGTGTTTGGCTAAAGCAACAAAGGTGTTGGTATCATGTAATTAGTACCTCAAGGATGGTGTATAAACTCAACATAACTATTAAAAAAAAATCTTAAAGTGATTGCAATATGTGATTTGAATTCATGAAGAAAGAAGTAATCCTGTTAAATCTTTTGCTCCTTTTAGAATCAAGAAAGAAAAATCACTTTCTCTTGGTCCATCAGTTACTGGCCTCTTTGAAGACCTTATTTTTTAAAGCAATTTATCCTCTTGTGTAATTACCCTTACACCTTCTTTCATAGGAGACAGATATTACATTGTCCCATATTCTAATTAACAAACAGCTCAAGGAAATTTCATTAGCACAATAAATCACATCAGTCTAATTTCCAAATCTACAACAACAAAAGTACTTTTCAACAAATATAATTCCCATCCTGCACCCCCTCCCCCACCCCCCAAAAAAGAATCACCCACTGTTTTGGCGTGGGAAACGATGGCTCTGTCATGTGAGCTACCCAAGCACTTATGAGCAGAGTTTGCAGTAAAAAGTGCTCAGCAGAGTATACAAACCTTCTACTCCTGCCCTTCACAGCTACCCAAATTGACCAGTTGGAGGTTAAAGTTGTTCAGTGTTTATGGGGACAGAAAATGAATTGGAAAATAACAATACCTTTCCCTTTACAGAATCTTAAAAGTCATAAGCAGACTCAAGAGTTTTAGGGCCTTCACACATGACTGTGATACAGTAAACACTGCAGCACCAAAATCACCTGCATGTTGAGGAAAAAAAGTACTCTGGTTGTGTTTTTATGTTGCAACATTTAGCCTTTTGGAAATCCATGAAAATTATATATCATGAGGAGTAAACTAAAAAAAAATCACTGAAACCTCTGATGAAAATTTAGTCCTTTCTGGAACAAAAAAATATAGGAATAAATTAATCATCACAAGCCCTGTCTCCTCCAAATCTGCCCATTTCCTTAAGATTACCACATGGATGTGTGCACAGCGTGTTCTGGGGAGTCATTTTCCTCTGAGTTAACACACCTCACTCCTAGAAACTTTGGTTGTTCTCCAGGCGCAGAAGTCTCTGTCTCCATCTTCAAACTGTCGATGTGAGCAATGGAGATGACTGTAGCAGCTACATACCACGGAAGAGCCATGAGGGAGCATATCACCATGAGGATGGCCACCCAAAAGAGATCCAAGTGATACCCTGCTCCTTTCTGTAGAAAGAGATAACAAAACCATGTGAAGACAAGACTCATATTCGCTATCTAGTCATATTTCCAGAGGGGAATTAAGATGACCAAAGGAAACCGACTTACTTTGCTTGGTAAGTCAAACTCCTTGAAGCAAGGGACTTTATCTTCTAGCAATTAAACATACAGCTGCCTCTTACAGCTGCTATGTTAGAGACCTTCTCTACTATAGCGTTGAATAATTGTCTAAGACTTAAGTCAAAGATACACTTATTATTTGTTTATTCCTAACCTCTCTGTATACAATTTTCTAATCAGAACAATGGAGATATATATGCCCACTCCACAGAGGAATTAAGACCATTCACTGAAGTAACAGAGGCAAAGCATCTTGTAGCAATTTAAACCGCAGTTGTTAATGTCATAGGTGCTTGATAAACGGTGATAGCGGCAGTAGTGGTACTGGCTGTTGTTGTTAAGATAAACATAATAAGCACCTTGAAAGCAGGCACCCTGCCTTCTCTGCTGGACAGCACTGAGTAGTATGCTGTTCATCAACTTACGTAAGTATCCGAAAGCAAGATTGAGAAGGTATGTAGGCCATTTCTCAGCTTTCATAATATATGAAAGTAAATGTTTAACAATCTATTATATGTCATAATTAAGGTAATAAACACTCCCTTAATCAGAATAGGCCGATTTCAAACATTGCCCAATGGTCACAATAACATTCACTGACTGGAAGAGCAGACAATGTAACAAAAGGTCTAGCTTTTTTATTCATGAAATAAATATTGTTAAATGTGTCCGCAATGTTATTCTATGGTTCTATTTCTTTGCTCTATTTATGAAGAAATCAAATACTTGATACCCCTACGGAGCCTGAGAAAATAGAGCAGTTCATTGTCACAGCATGGAAGCAGCAGTGCCAAGAGCCAGAACATGACCAATCCAAGGAATAAAGAGGCTGGTTTTAAAAAATGAGGATGTGATTTACACTAGGAACCTGGTGACTGTTATCATTCAGATCTTGTTACAGTTCGTCACAACACTGCTCTCCTCTCACTGAAATGCCAAGATTTCACCCCTGGCTCGCACACATGGATCTAATCATGTTCTGAGAACTCATCACAGGCAAGCGGAGCTGGTACAAGAAAGAAAAGCATATATTCACCTAGCCCAGGCTTGGCTAAATACAAAAATCTACTTGGGATTATGAATATAGGTTAATATATATTCATAAAACCAGTTATTTTCAGGAAGGTATAATAGCTTGAATTGAGAGTGGTGTAAGGCAGAGGAAAGGAGGGCAGAGGTGGGATGAGCTGAAATAAATTTGTTCAATAATGACTAATGCGGTGAATACCATGATATATCTGAGATTTCAGTCATTCATTCTTTCAATGAATATTGACTGACAACTTAGTACCATGCTGGTGACACATCTGTGAATAAAACAGACAAAAAATCTTGCCTTCATGGAGTTTCCATTCCACTGAGGGAGACAACAATGAATACCATAAAAAAGTAAAATATGCAGCATCTCACATAGTAATAAGTACTATGGAGAACTATCAGAACCTAGGCTTGTAGGATGAGTGTAATGGGAAACCACTGGAGGGTTTGAAATGGAGGACGGTCACGGTTTGCTTATGTTCTAAACACACTGGCTGCTGTGTTAGGTAAATAGGGAAAGGATAGTACGACTACATAACCATTGGAAGAAATCGTGATGATTAGAACCAGAGTGGTGGCAGTGAAGACGGTAAGAAGTGGTTGGGTTCTGGCTATACCTTAAGGTGGAGCCCACAGCATTTTCTCCCTCCTGTCTGTTTGTGTGTCTGGAACCTCACTATGGAGCATTCATGATCTGGCCCCTGTTCACATCTGCAGCCTCATCTTTCATCTCTCTCCAGATTGGATCCTGTGCCACCACCACTTTCAACCACCTGCAATGCCTCATATGTGTTTCTTTCACTGATACCTTTTGTGTGCTTGCCCACGTAGCCTCCTCTACCCAGAATAACCTCTACTCTTTCTTTGTTCTTTCTCTCACTCAGTCCTGTTTATCCTTAAGACTTAAATTAACCCTCACCTTTTCTGGTAGGTTTTCCTGCCTCAACCTAGGTGAGATAAGTAAGTCAAGTTGGGTTAGTTCTCCTCCTTTATGTTTCCCTGTTTTTCATTTTACGCCTTCCTTTATCACAGCCCTCATCACACCAATTCTGAAATTATATATGTATTCATCTGTCTTTGACATTAGAATGTAAGTAACATGAGGACCTGGACTGTATCTTTTTTTCTCTGTATTCTGAATACCTTAGCAGAGTACATGATGCACAGCTGATTCTCAATAAATGTTTATTTTGGACAAATAGCATGCATATACTCCCCTTATTGGCAACTGTAAACTCTTATTTAGCCATGAAAAAAATATAAAACGTTATTGTTAATTCGCAGACATGAGAAACATTTGTGGGGAGGGAAAAAGGAGAAAAACAGTAGAGACATCACAGAATTTTTAAGCCCTCTTTAGACTAAATCACTGAAGTCCATATTAGAAGTACCAGCAGGGTAATAATGAGCAGAATCCACAAATCTTGTTACCAAAAAACCTGTAGTAACCTAAGGATATGCACACTAGCCAAATGAATGGGTCAAAAGAATAGCTTATGTAAAAAAAAGTCACCCATGTTACCCTGAGTCATCTCGATGCTTTCTGGATCTATTTTAACTAAAACAAGTTTGAGTTATATATGTTGAAGACTAGCAAAAAGGGCCCATATGAAAGAGGGTGAAATGAAGATTCTAGATGATGGACTATAAAGGTAACTATATAACCATCAGAATAAACAAAGGTTCTGAGATAAAATAATTACAGAGAGACAAGTACTCTGCTCCCCTTGACACCACTGCTTTGAGATCGAGAACATCCTGGCTAACACGGTGAAACCCCATCTCTACTAAATAAATACAAAAAAAACTAGCCGGGCGAGGTGGCTGGCACCTGTAGTCCCAGCTACTCAGGAGGCTGAGACAGGAGAATGGCGTAAATCCGGGAGGCGGAACTTGCAGTGAGCCAAGATCCAGCCACTGCACTCCAGCCTGGGTGACAGAGCAAGACTCCGTCTCAAAAAAAAAGGTCTTCCTTCTCCTCAACCACAGTGGACTTCTTTATGTTCTTAGGGGAAGGGAAAATGACCAATGTGACCTGAAGGCCCTACCTGGTCTACCTCTACCTCCCCTCCAGCCTCAACTCTCTCATTGCAGCCACACAGGATTATTTCAATCACCTGTTCTCACCAGGTACCTCCTTTTGTAAGGCCTATGCATACACAGTGATTTCTTTGGGTGTCCGAAATAGTCTTCCCACCCAGCCTCATTTAGCTAATTCTTGCTAACATTTTAGGTCTCAATATAAGTGCCATCACATTAGGGAACTCCCTGCGCCCTCTCAACACACCATCTCCTTCTCCTTCATGACATCAGCCACATTTGCATGCCACATTCTGCATAATTATGTGAATTGTGCCTCTCTCTCTCATAGTTCCATGAGGACAGGAACCATGTATATTTTTGTTCACCATCAAACTAGCACTTGGCACAGCGTGTACCACAGAGTGGATACTCTAGATAAATGTTTGATGGATAAATGAATAAATGCCAATTCACTCATTCAATGGCACTCTGCTAGACCCTAGAGGTAAAATTATAAATAATACACAGTCCTTCCCTCCAGTGGTTTACTTTAATGGTAGAGCTGGTCAAAACAACACGTGTTTATAAAACCAGTATTAAAGTACGAGTGAATTCAGGGTACTGAGAAAGCATCCAGGAGGGGTACCCAACTCAGTACAAAGTCAGGGATGGTTTGCATGGGGGGTAGTATTTAGGTTGAGTTCTAAAATATGAGCCATAACCAACTCAGAGATAAGAAGTAGGTGAAAAACTATGCAAAGCAAGTTGCCATTCTAAGAAAATGAAATAAATTTGCTGCACAGAAGAAGATGGCTAGAGAAGTTAAGAACTTTTATGTTTTGCTAAAGGCTTTGGAATTTTTTATCCCAAGAGCAATGGAAAGTCACTGAAGGGTTTTAGGCAGGCAAGTGATATAATCAGATTTCTATTTAGAAGGATGGCTCTGTTGGGACTATAAATGGTATATTGATAGTGGTCAAGATTAGAGGCAGAGGACAGACACGACAACACTGTCATAATCCAGGCTTGAGAAGATGCAGTTTAAACCAAAGGAACAACATTGAGGAGAGTTTATGGACAACGAGGTCAAAGAGAAAAAAGTGATAAATTTATTTTGTCAAATTTCAACATGCAAGGCTTACCATGTCTAGTAGAGTGTCCGACACACGCTAAACTCTGGAGACACATTTGTTGAACAGAATGGTAAAAGCTATGCTTCAAATTCATGTTGCCCCAAACTATTGCCATGAGACCCAAGAAGCAAACGGTTATGTCAGAGAAGTTGTTTCTGCAAAACCACCTATATATGTATAAAAACAAGCCACTTCTAAGATGACCCTTTGAGTTAAAAGTATCTGAATGACTAGATTTGAATGGAATAAAAATAATATTCAAATACTGGTCCTTTTTATATAAAGAATACTGCAAGAAATATGGAAAACAGTATTTTTCAAAAATAACATATGAAACTTTTTATCTGTTCTGTACTCCTCCTCCCCACTGCCATTACCTTTTTCAGATTCTCATCCTTTCTCTCCTGGATTATGCAGCAGCCTCTTCCCACCCACCTTCCCCTTCCACTCAGCTCCCCCCACCCACCTCCACTCTTGCTCCTCCCCCATCCATCCTCACTGCTGCCAGACTGAGTGTTTCAAATGCAATTCTGACCCATCAAGCCCAAGCTGGATGTTGCTGAATAGGGGAGGCCACAGGCAGATGAGAAGGCCGAAGAATACAAAGACTCCCTTTCCATGCTCCTACATCTAAAACTCTGAGGAGGCCCTCAAGGATTCCAGAATCTCTACCAATCCCTAAATGTGCCTTGC